TCTAAAGATGAAGGGGGGACTAAAATTTAACAGAGAGAAGTTTTAAGAGGGAGTCAAAGACGGTTTAAGTGAGAGAAATATAAATATATAATATATATATATATATATATATATATATATATATATATATATATATATAGTATAGTATATATATTTCATTATTTTACGATATATATATATATATATATAATATATAATATACATAATATTATTTTGAAATTTATTTAAATATAATTTTATATGTGTTTATTGTTATTTTAGTGTTTTGACATTTCTAATATTTTTTACGGCCGACGTAAACTCGAATAAAACGATTTAAGCAGAGCTTTATGTTTCCATATAATATTTAAGAAAAACCGACGTGTCTTCGAAAATGACGTAACTCAAAACGTCTTAAGCTGAGTTATCACTGTATATCGTTTAATCAGTCTATTCATGAAACCTGTATTCAATAAGGAATCACTTGAAACTATAAAATTCTACTCAACTAAATTATTTGGAAAAAGGCTTCTAAACATTTTACATATACTCGTAAAATGTTAAGCGACGTTTTTTACTCGTGAGGTAACCATATTGAAGTTAACATCGATAATGTCAGCGCGCAAGGGCAAATACTGAATATGTTTTCCCGAATTTTAATTGGCATGTCCGAGCAATTCAGTTTGAAGATTTATCCCCACCACACATTGTATTCAATGTCAGTAACATTACCTTGTATTCAGCTGAGAAAATTTCAAATTTGTTTGCTTAGATTTTGTTTCTGTAACGTTAAATGGTCTTGTCAATGGACGCTTTTACGCCTACGTTCAAAAGAGTCAGAATAAATTTTTCTCGTTATAAATCGTTATGTACGTGGTTTATCAGTTTGACAAATAACATTTGAGATTTTTGTAGTGATAATTGGAACGAAAAAATTCCCCCACCTGATCGCAAACGGTAGCGTATATGTTCCGCGTGCAAAGTTTATCTTTTTGACCGGAAAAAAAGAAACATGGCCTTCCCCAGCAAGCTTGTATTGCAAATGGTCACGTATCCTCACGCGGCTAGTCTCGTAAAGATATGGAAAGTGGATTCACGCATGCAAATGAAGGAAGGCAGAAAAGAAGATAAAAACGCTGAACGCCGGCGTCTTTGCAGTTAGAAAAATGGAGTCTCTTTTGTAACGTGGAAGGAGAATCGTGTAAAGGAGAAAGCAGAGGCGCAGAAGAAGAATATTGAGAAAATTGCGGTTTTACACCAAGAAAATATTGTGTTTTGTTCAGGAAGTTTCGTCAGAAGTCGCGGATTGCAACAACAACAACAACTAGAATTTTAAATGTTTTACTGAAGGTTTTCAGTGGAGTATTATTCTCGTTATACAAGTTAACTATTTATGCGGCACGTGAAATAAAATCCTTTACAAAGGAGGCATTAAACACCTCCCTAAAGAAAAAGTTTCCCCATTATTAGATATGTAGAACAAATCTTGCATTATTCATTAAGGAAAGCTGGGTTTTTTAAAAAATTCCTAATATTTAAACCGAGCATTTGGAATGAAGGTAGTTTTATATAAAATTTAATAAATTTTGTGTACATACAGATCCAGGTAATTTAATACTCACACGGATTTTTAAGTGGTGAAATTATAATTTCACGTAAAAATGATGTTTTCTACTTTGTGTAAGTGTACAAAAACATGATCACTATTTACAAAAAATATATTAATGCAATAGCAAACACTAATTCTACATTTTTTTCTCGTGAATATTAACATTTTTTTTTTACGAAACTTGTTTATTGAAAAAAAAAGCTTGAACAAAGTAACTATAAACAATTCTTTTTTTTGCTATCCTCTGCCAGCCACAATGATGGGGAAAGCATTACCTCGAACCATCACCAGTGAGACACGCTGCAAGAGCCACTCTGTTTCGCGAGGCTCTTACCTTAATCGAGACGCAATCGCGCCAATCCTTCGAAGGAACGCCATCGAATGAGGGCCAATAACTCCAGAAGTCTCCACTGCCACAGGAGTAAAAAAAAAATTATCAGCAAGATCTTGTGTTCAACTATCTAACTTAAGTTTTAGGAAGCTTGTTATGGGGGAAACACACCTATTCTATAGTTAATAGACTCTCCCACCTATAATAAGTGAGAGTAGTAGGGGTTAGTCAGTCAATCAATGTCGGACGACAGTCGAATACAAAAGTATCAGCGACCACAACCATATTACTCTGCGTAATACATATATCAAGTTCCTAACGTTTTGTACGTCGAACCTATTTTAGGACCGACTTAGTACAAATACAAGCCTCCACTGCGAAATAACTCCACAACAAAGCTACAAAACATTGTCCCAGAAAAACTTCTAGATTAAGTGGGATAAACTCTGGGGAGAGGGTATGACATCGATTACGTCATTATGTGAAAGAAAATTTCCATTTGTGGTAAGTATGTCAGCACGTGAAGAGGTTTTGGATTTTGGAAATTTAGGTGAAGGATACCCACCTTGTAAGAACAGATACTACACTTTGGTCTCAGCCAATCGGTTGAGAAGTGATTGTATTTTCTTGTTGACCTATTCTGACAGAAAGTGTTTATAAGGATGAAAGTAAGTATGTCCTTGAGGGATTATTATTTCAATTATTTAACTTCAGTTTTAGGAAGCTACAAAACATTGTCCCATGAAAACTTCTTTTTTTTTATACCAAAACTTCACGAATCTGAAAAGCTGCTTTAATAAGATTCTATTTAACTTCTAGTGCCATTTTGAATTATATCTCCAAATAAACTGGACAGTTATGAAAATTCTGTCATAATCAAACGTATTCGTTCAATTTGGTACTCGGAAATTTGGCTGACGGACTTTTGGCCGACGGATATTTAACCGAATGGACATTTAGCCGAATATGTAATGGCGTACTTACATGTATGTCACACTCTTTATCGTAATGTGCTACATATATTTATAATTATTTACTGCATTAATTTATAATTTTTCATTTTTTGACAGGCTTTTAAAAAAATCTATTCTGTATATATTATATTTTACTTCAAATATTACTATAAGATGATAAGTATTTTGAGAAAAAGCACATTTTACTACATCAAAAATCTGAATCTTTTACGATATGAAAGATCTTTCAATTTCGCTTTTAATGATCATTATCTTAAAGGGATGAACTAGCGTTTATTTTACTGTTAAATACGAATTTAAATAATTAGGTGCTACTTTTACCCAAACACACTCAAATATTTTTTAAAATGCTAATTTCAATAAACAAATATTGAAATAAAAAAAACAAACTTTTAACTTCAAATTTAGATCTAGTAATTTAATCAATTGAAATTCAATAGTAATTATTAGTCCTATTCTAACTTATAATACTGCTAATTAAAATACTTAAAGTATTGTTTGTGACTATTTTTTCTTGTACTTTTTCGGCCAAATGTCTGTCGGCCAAATGTCTGCCGGCTAAATATCTGGCGACGATGTAAATAATGAAAACGCCTACACCCTTAGATTCCCGAATGTTGGCCTAATGGATAATCTCTTGGAATGTGAAATGGGAGAGCTGTGATTGAATTCCGGTCGACTTCGTTATATTCACCCTTGAGAAAGATATGAATCTAGCTACTCCCACCAGCTATGGGTTCAATAGTAGACGTGTATCTGGATAATTCATTGTTATCTCCAAAAGATTTGTTAATTCCAATCAAAAATAAATAACCCACAAAGGGTTGATAAACCGTAAAAGAAACAAATAAATCATTAATTTGTTAAGCAAATCTTCAAGCTTGAACATGGAGCATTAAGGTTATGTTTTATTGCATATTTGCCGCTAGTGTTGCTGTGACGCTTGACCCCTTCGCCGTCAATATAAATGATGATAACTAAAAATAGTTTTTTTCTTAATCCATTATTTGCATGTGGAATTAACCCATATCTATATAAAATTTCAGTAAAAGTATTAATCCCCAAAAGTGATTGGAAAGGATAAGGTAAAGTATAAGAAGATACTGTAAAAGATGAGAGAAGTGAAAAGCAATGGTTAACGGACGATTTTGTATCAACACTGTCTTTTATTTAACCAAAAAGTCAGATGTGTATATCGTTTTCTGAAGAGCATATGCCCTCGCCATTTATGAATTTAGATAGATAGATAGATAGATAGATAGATAGGACAGGTATAAATAGATAGATAGATAGATAGATAGATAGATAGATAGATAGATAGATACGGACAAATTGACATAAATAGATAAATATATATGAACAGTATATGATAGATAGTCTGCACTGACTTTCATTTAAGCAAAAAGTCAGATGTGTATATCGTTTTCTGAAGAGCATATGCCCTCGCCATTTATGAATTTAGATAGATAGATAGATAGATAGGACAGGTATAAATAGATAGATAGATAGATAGATAGATAGATAGATAGATAGATAGATAGATACGGACAAATTGACATAAATAGATAAATATATATGAACAGTATATGATAGATAGTCTGCACTGACTTTCATTTAAGCAAAAAGTCAGATGTGTATATTGTTTTCTGAAGAGCATATGCCCTCGCCATTTATGAATTTAGATAGATAGATAGATAGATAGATAGGACAGGTATAAATAGATAGATAGATAGATAGATAGATAGATAGATACGGACAAATTGACATAAATAGATAAATATATATGAACAGTATATGATAGATAGTCTGCACTGACTTTCATTTAAGAAAAAAAGTCAGATGTGTATATCGTTTTCTGAAGAGCATATGCCCTCGCCATTTATGAATTTAGATAGATAGATAGATAGATAGGACAGGTATAAATAGATAGATAGATAGATAGATAGATAGATAGATAGATAGATAGATAGATACGGACAAATTGACATAAATAGATAAATATATATGAACAGTATATGATAGATAGTCTGCACTGACTTTCATTTAAGCAAAAAGTCAGATGTGTATATCGTTTTCTGAAGAGCATATGCCCTCGCCATTTATGAATTTAGATAGATAGATAGATAGATAGGACAGGTATAAATAGATAGATAGATAGATAGATAGATACGGACAAATTGACATAAATAGATAGATAGATATGAACAGTATATGATAGATAGTCTGCATGTCTTTTATTTAAGCAAAATGTCAGATGTGTATATCGTTTTCTGAAGAGCATATGTCCTCACCATTTACGAATTTAGAGAGGTAGATAGATAGACAGACAGACAGATAGATAGATATGAACAGAATGTGATAGTCTGCACTGTCTTTTAATTAAGCGAAAAGTCAGATGTGTATATAATTTTCTGAAGGTATTTGTTCTCATCATTTACGAATTTAGCGTCCCTCCGTGTCAATTAGAAAGGTCACTATATATATGGATAAGCATATTTGTATTTCCTCCATAAAGTTATCTTTCAACTCGCTGACATCTTCGCTTTAACAACTGAATATTTTCAGGTGTTACGGTCTGAACTAATCTCATAACAACAAATATGGAAGGAGCATATAGCAAGAAAATTAAATTTTGTTAGGAATATGTCAATGAATATATGTTGCCTACTCAAGAATGAGTACACAACATTTTCAAGCATTAAATAATCTCTCTTTATATATATATATATATATATATATATATATATATATATATATATATATATATATATATATATATATATATATATATATATATATATATATATATAGATAGATAGATAGATAGATAGATAGATAGATAGGATTTGATGGGTATATACACGACGAAAGATAGATAGATACGATTTCACGGCTATATTCCTGAGAAAGATAGATAGATAGATAGATAGATAGATAGAAATTTGACTGATATATATAAGACGAAAGATATATATATATATATATATATATATATATATATATATATATATATATATATATATATATATATAGATAGATAGATAGATAGATAGATTGGATTTGACTGGTATATACACGATGATAGATAGATAGATAGATAGACAGAGATAGATAGATAGATAGATAGATAGATAGATAGATAGATAGATAGATAGATAGATAGGATTTGACTGTTATATACACGACGAAATATAGATAGGTAGACAGACAGACAGACAGATAGATAGATAGATAGATAGATAGATAGATAGATAGATAGATAGATAGATAGATAGATAGGATTTGACTGTTATATACACGACGAAATATAGATAGGTAGACAGACAGACATGCAGATAGATAGATAATAGATAGATAGATAGATAGATAGATAGATAGATAGATAGATACGATTTCACGGCTATATTCCCGAGGAAAGATAGATAGAGAGAAAAATTTGACTGGTATATATAAGACGAAAGATCGATAGCTGGATAGATAGATTGGATTTGACTGGTATATACACGACGATAGATAGATAGATAGATAGATAGATAGATAGATAGATAGATAGATAGATAGATACGATTTCACTGCATAGATTGTGTCTTTGTCTCTGTTTTGGTTTCGGAAATCTTCCAAGAAATCAACTGGACCATCCTCAACAATGTCAGATTATTCCGTTATGTGATCAGCCTGATGCGTCTTGATTAGGAGCCAGAAGATAGATAGATAGATAGATAGATAGATAGATAGATAGATAGATATGGCTCGGATGAGATAAACAAGACAAGCGACAGCTCGATAAATATGAACAGGATGAGAAAGACACACACACAGAGGGAGAGAGAGAGAGAGAGAGAGAGAGAGAGAGAGAGAGAGAGAGAGATGAACAGGATGAAGTAGATAGATAGAACGAAGAACAGATAGATATGAACAGACTGAGATAGATAGATAGATAGATAGATAGATAGATAGATAGATAGATAGATAGTCTGGTGGAGATGAACGTACCTCTCCAGAATATGACTTGGACTTCTCCAAATATTATATAATTATAATAATATATAATATTCGCCAAATATTATATATTATAAAATTATAATATATATATTATATATTATTTATACGGTTTGAAGTAGGTTGTTTAATATTTTAATTTTATAGATAATATTTTGTATAATAATACAGTGTTATTGGATTAGTTCATTAGCAATTGGTTGGGGGTTGGTATTTATTATTTGCAGAATTAAGTTATTAAATATATTTAAAATGTTTCTGCCAGTATTAAATGCTATTCTATTTATCTTGGGATTTTGGTTTTTAATTATGATGACTTCAAGAATTTGTAATCGTTTTTTTTGCATTTGTTTTGTAGAAGATTCTAGTATTGTTGATTAGGATTTTTCTAATTTCTGAGGATTTAAATCTGTTACTAGTGGTTATAAAGTGGTTTGTATGGCGTTGGTGGCGCTATGTTAGCCGATGTGAGAGTTTTGCTTTAAAAAAATGTATATATATATATATATATATATATATATATATATATATATATATATATATTATAAATAAATTGATTTAAAATATGGTTTTTCCGTTACACAGTTCTAACCATGTTTCAAAAATGGAAGGTCCGAATTTAATTTTGTAATTGAATTAAAGACATTTCATTTCCATTTCATCCTCAAGCGAATTTTGGAGTAACTTTTAAAATTACTGGGTTTTAAAGACACAGTTAAAATCATAATTCACGTTTCCAAGGTTACAGATAAATTCACTTCCACTAGACAAGGGGTGTTTGCGTGTTCATTGTGTCTGTATTTTGATGTATCAGTTATTAGTTACGTTTTGGTAGCGGGTAACATGGTTAGAACTGTGTAGCGGAAAAACCAGATTTTAAATCAATTTATTTATAATAATAATGCTCTGTAAATTTACATTGAGCACTATTTTGTAAAAATAAAAATATCTATAACACTGGATTATATATCTTACTGTTCTTTCTTTCTTTTATATATATATATATATATATATATATATATATATATATATATATATATATATATATATATATATGTATGTATTTGTGTGCATGTGTGAACTTTTGCTATTAAATATGTTGTAATTAACGAAGAAGATTAACGATTAACAAAATAGGGGATTATGTTGCGGATTATAACTGGAATTCGTATATATATTTCATGTCGATTTTAGCTATCCATAATCCGTTGTAATTAAAGAACATAATTTAATTGCGTGTGTGGAAGCATTTTATTTTCACTACAGAGTCTCACCTTTGTTATGTTAATGGAAAAGAACATTGTTGTTCTTTTTATTCAACCGTTTTTGAATTGAAAATGGAAATTTTTCGAGAACGCAAAATTCAAATGATTGTAGAGGATCCGCTTGAATAAACGGATATAATGTAAGTGGCCTCTTCGTTATCAGCTTAATTTTTCCATCGTCTTCTCAATTTTCATCCAATTCCCTGAAGAGCCAGCAGCATTATTCCGGATTCTATGCAAATATGTTAAAATATCTTATTATTCAAACACATATGATGCATCTATTAAATGTCGCTGAATTAAAAAAAGAAAATTTCCTTTCATTGTTCGTGACAAGAACTAAACAAAAGCTGCCTTACGAACATATCACGTTGAAAAACAGATTGTCTTTAAGTAACGTCATGAAGCAACGTCGGATCTGGTCAGTCTCTAGATGGGTGACCGCTTGGGAATACCAGGTTCTGTAAGCTGGGAAATTGTAAATCAGACAGCCAATTTCCAATTCCATTTGGGTTCGTTATGTTCATTTAAGCAACATACCCTCATACATCGAAATCGACACGAGGGTCTAATATATATATATATATATATATATATATATATATATATATATATATATATATATATATGAAAAAATATAGTTTTAAGGTGTGCTATATTTATAGGATATAGTGCTCAATATAAAAGATTGTGCGTATGTAAATATAAAATGAACATTAATAAATCAACACTCAGAGGCGACAGGTTGTTTCATGCTAGACGCAACCATGATTGCGTCTAACACAAAACAGTCTGTTTCATGCTGGACACAATCGTCAGGCCGCCTGGCGATTGCGTCCAGCCTGAAACAACCTGTCGAGTCAAAATTTACATTTTGACTTCAATGTTCACTTATATATATATATATATATATATATATATATATATATATATTAGATAAAAACAGACCACTTTTAAGGTTCCATGTAATAAATTATTTCACCACAGCCCTTTTAAAAGGACTGCGGATCATCAGACTTTACTTCAAACAAAAATGAAAAGAAAATTTACACATTTTTGACGGGCTGTATTAAACATATAAAATTAACGAAGTGAGGAAGTGAGGGGGGGAGAGAGAAAACATGAGTGAGTTAGCAGATATTGACACATTTAAACGGCTAACTTAACGGAAGTTATATATTGATATCGAAGGGTAGAGAATAAAAAAGAGAGAGATGGAGAGTAAAAGAGAAGGAAGTGAAGAGAGAAGAAAGATGTCACTAATTTTCTTTGTAAAAAAAAACTAGAAACAGACGCTGTTATTTTGTTTTTATTTGAAAGTGTTATTTTGGGGGTTCCTAAAGATTATTCAATTATTATTTTATTTAAATTATTTGCTCTGGATTTACATTGAGCTCTCTGGATTATATCTTCCTTAGGTTTTACTTACCTAGTTTTTTCATAAACTATTACTAACTAACTTCTATAATATATATATATATATATATATATATATATATATATATATATATATATATATATATATATATATAACATCCTTTATTTATATATATATCTCTCTCTTTATTCTATCTATCTATCTCTATATATATATATATATATATATATATAATTATTTATTTAAAATATGATTCCAACGCTACATAAGAGTTTCATGTTTTTTTTATTTTTTTAAAAACTTCAATATAATTATTTGAATTAAATTGAATTAAAAATGACTAAGTGTATGTTCCATCTTCAAATATTAAGATTTTTTTTAAAAATTTTTATGAAAAGAATTTAGAAAAATAACATAATATATTTTATTTATATATATATATATATATATATATATGAGAGAGAGAATTTCTCGATATATATATATAGAGATGAATTCTCAAATTCAGACCGGTTATATATATTCATAAATATATTTAAATATTCATCTCTTCAGACCAAATGCTTTTAAAAAACCATTTTTCATTTTTTTTTAAAATTATTCTTATTTTTTTTAATTATATCCGAAATAGATTTTAAAGGTTGTCTTTACTTATTATGTATACATAAAATAATTTTTGCTCTACATTTCCGACTTTGGAATCGTTTATTATTGACTATTTTTAGTTTTTGAACTTTTTAGATGTGCCAGTTTTTACTCTCTTTTTGTAATTTTTGAAACTTCATTTTGAACTTGTTGGCTTTATAACTGAATATAGTTTCTTCCTTCTTTCATGTTATTTTTACACAGATCATCATTATTTGACATCATATATTTTACTTTATATATATATATATTTTATATTACTATATATATATATATATATATATATATATATATATATATATATATATATATATAGTTTATGCAAAACTAGGTAATCCGTATGGATAGACCCAAGGAGGATGATAGCAAGAGAGCTCAATGTAAATACAACGAGAAATAAATTTGTAAATAAACAACTTTTTTTTTTTATGTAAACATTATTTCACCATCCCTTTTAAATTAATGGATCATCAGATTTAATACGGCCCGTCAAAATGTGTAAATTTCTTTTCATTTTCATTTCAACCTTTGGAAGTAAAGTCTGATGATCCAGAGCCCTTTAAAGGGCTGTATGAAATAATTTATATATGGAAACCTTAAATATATATATATATATATATATATATATAAATTGATAACAATTGATAATTATAACTGTCGTTTAAGTGTTCAAATTAAACTGTTGAAAGTAGTTGGATCTTAATGTAAATCGAGGGAAAGAGGCGAAATCATCTACAACTGAAAAGCTGTTTTTCTTCGTCCTTGTTTTCAAGTCAAGTGGAGATTCCGTTTGCTCCCAGCGACTTGCAGACTGTTAAACTTGTCACCCTAACAACTTTCCCTTTCACCCCTCACTTTTCTCTATCGTATCACTCATCACATCTTCCTCGATTCTATCTTGAAATTTTGGCTGTGTTCCTTTAAACACCAGCACAGACGCCTTCAACTAAACCGACTTGTCTTGTAAATACCTCTTATCTTCTAAGGTTAATTATTTCTATCCAGAAATATCGTCCATTGCCTTTTTCTGTGACATTAAATATTCTACTAGCATGACTCTTAAATTTCGATTATTATCGTTACTCTATTGCTATTTCAATGGGAAATATTCCGACGGGTTACAGTCCCAAGTTCAACCAGTTTAAAATAAAAACCTCCATATCTTGACCAGAGGGATGAACCCTATTAGTGAATACCGGTCAGTCTCCCAACAGATGAAGAGACAGAAATGTGTATTTATGAACGCCGTTAGAAACAATCAAAAGAATGCTGAAGCCTCTACGTAAAATCTAATATGGCTGTAACACGAGGGGAAGTGAAAAAATCAGGCGTGGCTGACCACATATGAGGA